TAAGGAAAACAGGAAGTATAAATAGTTGAGCTTACCAAGGTGTAAGGAAAACAGGAAGTATAAATAGTTGAGCTTACCAAGGTGTAAGGAAAACAGGAAGTATAAATAGCTGAGCTTACCAAGATGTAAGGAAAACAGGAAGTATAAATAGTTGAGCTTACCAAGGTGTAAGGAAAAACAGAAAGTATAAATAGCTGAGCTTACCAAGGTGTAAGGAAAACAGGAAGTATAAATAGTTGAGCTTACCAAGGTGTAAGGAAAAACAGAAAGTATAAATAGCTGAGTTTAACAAGGTGTAAGGAAAACAGGAAGTATAGTAGTTGAACTTACCAAAGTGTAAAGAAAACAAATGTAAAAAGGTGTGCATTAGATGAGCTAGTTCATGAAAAACAGAAAATGTTAAAGATATAAGTTAAAAGTTTGAAATTCGTTTGGTGGTGAAAGCTGTTTTCAAACATCTGTCTTAAGGTTTTTATTAATGAAACTATATATTTTTTTTTATTTCTTTAATGTAAATCTTATTCTTTTCTAATAATTCATACAAATAAGTTGCGTATTAAATCACACTGATTTATTGTTAGTGTGTTATCGAGTATTAAAGCACACTGATTTATTATTAGTGTGTTATTGAGTATTAAATCACACTGATTTATTGTTAGTGTGTTATCGAGTATTAAAGCACACTGATTTATTGTTAGTGTGTTATTGACTATTAAAGCACACTGATTTATTGTTAGTGTGTTATTGAGTATTAAAGCACACTGATTTATTGTTAGTGTGTTATCAATTATTAAAGCACACTGATTTATTGTTAGTGTGTTATTGACTATTAAAGCACACTGATTTATTGTTAGTGTGTTATTGACTATTAAAGCACACTGATTTATTGTTAGTGTGTTATCAAGTATTAAAGCACACTGATTTATTGTTAGTGTGTTATTGAGTATTAAATCACACTGATTTATTGTTAGTGTGTTATTGAGTATTAAATCACGCTGATTTATTGTTAGTGTGTTATTGAGTATTAAATCACGCTGATTTATTGTTAGTGTGTTATTGAGTATTAAATCACACTGATTTATTGTTAGTGTGTTATTGAGTATTAAATCACACTGATTTATTGTTAGTGTGTTATTGAGTATTAAATCACACTGATTTGTTGTTAGTGTGTTATTGACTATTAAAGCACACTGATTTATTGTTAGTGTGTTATCAAGTATTAAATCACTGATTTATTGTTAGTGTGTATTAGTATTAAAGCACACTGATTTATTGTTAGTGTGTTATCGAGTATTAAAGCACACTGATTTATTGTTAGTGTGTTATTGACTATTAAAGCACACTGATTTATTGTTAGTGTGTTATCAAGTATTAAAGCACACTGATTTATTGTTAGTGTGTTATTGAGTATTAAATCACACTGATTTATTGTTAGTGTGTTATCGAGTATTAAATCACACTGATTTATTGTTAGTGTGTTATTGAGTATTAAAGCACACGGATTTATTGTTAGTGTGTTATTGAGTATTAAAGCACACTGATTTATTGTTAGTGTGTTATCGAGTATTAAATCACACTGATTTATTGTTAGTGTGTTATTGAGTATTAAAGCACACTGATTTATTGTTAGTGTGTTATTGAGTATTAAAGCACACTGATTTATTGTTAGTGTTATTGACTATTAAAGCACACTGATTTATTGTTAGTGTGTTATCGAGTATTAAAGCACACTGATATATTGTTAGTGTGTTATTGACTATTAAAGCACACTGATTTATTGTTAGTGTGTTATTGAGTATTAAAGCACACTGATTTATTGTTAGTGTTATTGAGTATTAAAGCACACTGATTTATTGTTAGTGTTATTGAGTATTAAAGCACACTGATTTATTGTTAGTGTGTTATTGACTATTAAAGCACACTGATTTATTGTTAGTGTGTTATTGACTATTAAAGCACACTGATTTATTGTTAGTGTGTTATCAAGTATTAAAGCACACTGATTTATTGTTAGTGTGTTATCGAGTATTAAAGCACTGATTTATTGTTAGTGTGTTATCATGTGATTGGTTATATAGGTCTGCAAATTTAAACTTCATAAAAAATTTTTTATAATAATGGACTTTCAATAATTCAGCTATGCATATTTCAAAAATAACATTAATTTTTTTCTCTCATGTAAGGATTTTTTTACAATTGGCAAGAAAAAAACTCTTACTCAGATCAAATTATTATTTCATTTACCACAATGAACATTTTTTATTATTATGTTTGTTAACAAAAATTCAAACAAACTGAAGAAAAGAGAAGAACATTGATGTCAAACGAACATGCATCCTTATTCATCCCGATTTTTTGTGTGTGAAATCTACTCTTTTAGTCTCAAAACTACGTGTTGTGATCTTTCTTTTATGTATTGCTTTATGACATTTTGTGTAAAATATGTATGTGATGGAGAAAAATGGATATCATTTTCGGATTCTGTGTACAGGAATTACCGTAGAACATGTAAAAATTTCAAGACAACAAAACATCGTAGGCCTGTGTTATTTTTTTCTATCCATTTTCTGCCATCATTATTGGTGTACTGAAATTTTTGAAGTAATCCATTTAATATTTCTGTTGCATTTTTTTCGTATGTGATCATAACTAACTTGTATATTTGAATTCATATGGTAACTATTATGTCTGTTGTTTAATGTTTTTTAATCATTTTACTTACTGGTTGAATGATTTTAGTTAGCATCTTAGTTGCTTTTTTTTATTTATATAAAAACAAATTATTTGACTGTTTTATTTGCCTTTTGTAAACAGAAATTTAGCTTTTTATATTTTAAAGATACATAAGAACATCGATGTTAGTTTGTAGTAAAGTTCCAGCTGTGTGTTTGTCAGGCAATGAAAGGAGATAAGAATGTGGTTGTCGGGCAGGGTATGGAGTCTTCGTTAGAGGAACTTTGTGAAGACAGTTTCTGTGAGTATCATTTTTATAGATATTAGTTTGTAAACTAATTAACTGATAATTTGTCTGTTGACCTTGAGAGCAGTCTGTTTGTACAAGATTCTTTGTAAACTTTACTTACATTGTATATAATTGTTTGTATTCTGTTTGTTTTATATACAGGTGTTTGAACTCTGATTATAAACAACTGTTTGTTTTATATACAGGTGTTTGAACTCTGATTATAAACAACTGTTTGTTTTATATACAGGTGTTTGAACTCTGATTATAAACAACTGTTTGTTTTATATACAGGTGTTTGAACTCTGATTATAAACAACTGTTTGTTTTATATACAGGTATTTGAACTCTGATTATAAACAACTGTTTGTTTTATATACAGGTGTGCGAACTCTGATTATAAACAACTGTTTGTTTTATATACAGGTGTTTGAACTCTGATTATAAACAACTGTTTGTTTTATATACAGGTGTGCGAACTCTGATTATAAACAACTGTTTGTTTTATATACAGGTGTGCGAACTCTGATTATAAACAACTGTTTGTTTTATATACAGGTGTTTGAACTCTGATTATAAACTATTGTTTGTTTTATATACAGGTGTTTGAACTCTGATTATAAACTATTGTTTGTATTCTGTTTATTTGAACTCTGATCATAAACAATTATATGTGTTCTGTTTTATTTGTACGTGATTGTTTGTACTCTGTTTGCAAAATATATATTACTGTTTGTTGTAAAACCTTAAATAATTTATTTTATAATGTTGAAAAATATATAAAAATTCCTTTTGACTACATTTTAACAAAAACTTTTATTGGCATTAACTATAAACAATTTGAGAATTATTTTTACACAAAGGATTGAGCACCTAGTATTTCACAAGTACTAGTGTGATTTATTTTTATAAGCTCTAGTGCTCCCTTTCCTGTATATTAGTAACGTAACTTAACTTATGGCTATTGGTCAAAATTTATCACTTGTAAGTACTGTAATATTTAGAAAAAGTTATATTTTTTATTTCTGTAGTGCATATTGATGTATAGAAGACATTTTGATACTAGAAATAAGCAACCTTATAACACCAAAATGTTGTTTTTATTTAATTTGACACTCGATGTTTTGCTTTACACCTTCTTCAGGAGTATTCCACTAAAACCGAAGAACCTGTAAAACAAAATGTTGAGTTTTATTTTCGTTCTTGTTTCTGATTGAGTTGCTTAAAAAAAATTAGTTTTGTAACTTTTAATTTCGTGTATTTGTTTTCCTTATATCATAAGTACATTCTATATATTTATCTTCGTTTCTAGTTGAATAAAAAAAACAGATGGATCTAAGAAATTAAAAAGGAGTGAAATAAGATAGTTTTTCGTAACCATATAACATCGTTGACCATGTGTGTAGTTGTTGAGGGTATGTAATGTTTCTCAAGCTGTTCAGTGTAAATTCTGATATGATAACACTGTTTAGAATGATAACTGTCTTTTCAGAACTTGAAAAATGATTTTGAAATAATGCTATTAATTGCAGCTGCACAAGCCCTGACAGCTAACGTAGTGGGAGGAGATCAAAATGGGCAGCAGAGTGTAATATACGCTACAACATACCCTGCTCAGGTGTGCTCTGGTTATGTAATTTTAATAATTCATGATACAAACGTACTTAAGTTCTAAAGTAACTGATGGTTCAACACTTTAATGTAACATTCTCACGCAACTTGGAAAACAGGTGTCTTGACTTGGTGTAACATAAATTGTTGGTGTACATATAATTATTATCAAAATTTAAAAAATTATTTCCTGGTGCCAAGATGGCATTGGATTTAAGTGTTACTACTGTTTCTTCTCATAGGTGATGAGATTAGTTTTTCTCAATTCAAGATAGTTATCCGTAGAGAACTGTAACATGTAACACTGGTAGTTATCTGTAGAGAACTGTAGCATGTGATGCTGGTAGTTATCTGTAGAGAACTGTGGCATGTAACACTGGTAGTTATCTGTAGAGAACTGTAGCATGTGATGCTGGTAGTTATCTGTAGAGAACTGTGGCATGTGACTCTGGTAGTTATCTGTAGAGAACTGTAGCATGTGACGCTGTTAGTTATCTGTAGAGAACTGTAGCATGTAACACTGGTAGTTATCTGTAGAGAATTGTAGCATGTAATGCTGGTAGTTATCTGTAGAGAACTGTAACATGTAACACTGGTGGTTATCTGTAGAGAACTGTAGCATGTGATGCTGGTAGTTATCTGTAGAGAACTGTAGCATGTAACACTGGTAGTTATCTGTAGAGAACTGTAACATGTGACTCTGGTAGTTATCTGTAGAGAACTGTAGCATGTGATGCTGGTAGTTATCTGTAGAGAATTGTAACATGTAACGCTGGTAGAGAACTGTAACATGTGACTCTGGTAGTTATCTGTAGAGAACTGTGGCATGTAACACTGGTAGTTATCCGTAGAGAACTGTGGCATGTAACACTGGTAGTTATCCGTAGAGAACTGTGGCATGTAACACTGGTAGTTATCTGTAGAGAACTGTAACATGTAACACTGTTAGTTATCTGTAGAGAACTGTAACATGTAACACTGTTGATTATCTGTAGAGAACTGTAGCATGTAATGCTGGTAGTTATTTGTAGAGAACTGTAGCATGTGACGCTGGTAGTTATCTGTAGAGAACTGTAGCATGTAACACTGGTAGTTATCTGTAGAGAACTGTAGCATGTAACACTGGTAGTTATCTGTAGAGAACTGTAGCATGTAACACTGGTAGTTATCTGTAGAGAACTGTAACATGTAACACTGGTAGTTATCTGTAGAGAACTGTAACATGCAACACTGGTAGTTATCTGTAGAGAACTGTAACATGCAACACTGGTAGTTATCTGTGGAGAACTGTAGCATGTAACGCTGGTAGTTATCTGTAGAGAACTATAATAAGAACGTTAATCATAGGGAGGATTACAAGATTAATTAGTTTAAAATCTTCTCAGAATTTTACTGTGCATAATCTTTATAATTTTCATTAATTTGATTTATTGTGTAAAAAAGTATGGAAGGAATTTTACTTGGTAACAATCAGTTGGACAAAGTTTTGAGAAGCTTAGTTTGTGTTAGAAAAAGTTAAAATTAGTTTGTAGTGCTCTCTATAATTCTTTAAAAAGTTGACTGAAAATTTTATCGTCTTTTTTTTTAGGTACATCAACAGATCCAGTTCGGCTGATTTTTAAGATAAAACTAACTATTTTTTATTTAAATTTCAACCATCGTTCCCACCCAGTGCGTCAACCGAGGTTTTTATAGATATTTGCGTGTATAACATGAAACAGGGACTTGTTAGGTTAGACGGTTTGAGAAGAAAATATCACATATAAAGTTTTAATTTAATTTATTTTTTTCTCTGTATTTGTGTGATTCTGTTGTTTTCTATATACTTTTACAAATTTTCGTGTTAAAAAATCATCACAGTTTTTAAACAGTTACTTAGATAAAAAAATATTCCAGAGAATCTGTGTGAATTTAATAATAAGCTTTTAGATCATACGATTAAGGTAAAATAGTGTAAGAAGTGATTGATATAGAGAAGTGTTTACCTTACTGAATGACATCAAAACTTCACATTTAATAGTTGTTATGAACTCGGACTGAATTGTAGATTTGTTTTCTATGGGTGTTAGACTTGTTGATTTCATTGTTTCGGCTTTTATTGCTTAAAAACACAAACATTGTTTTTACACAATTAATACGATGGCTACTTAAGTTTTGTTTTTTGAAGTATTTGTACATTCATTCATTATTTTGTTTTAACAAAGTGACTCACCTGTTGAGCTGTGTTAATGTGTTATTTAGTTTTATATATTTGTGTATCCGGTGAGAAGCCTTAGTGCCCACCGTCTATAATCTTTGAATGTGTACATGATTATATACTACAGTAAAGTTAATTAAAATATACATGTGTAGTTCTGTTTAACTTTGATGTAATTAGTGACTGGAATTACCATTTTTAAGTATCACCAGGTTCAACGTTTCATCCCATACGTGAAGCGTACATCTTTAGTAATTTGTTGTTTCTTCAAGGAATACATATTAATCATTTTAACATGATAGGGATGAGTGTTATTATCTGTTAGGCTGAAGTCAGAACCTACAACACTTATTTTAACGTGATAGGGATGATTGTTATTATCTGTTAGGCTAAAGTCAGAACCTACAACACTTATTTTAACATGATAGGGATGAGTGTTATTATCTGTTAGGCTAAAGTCAGAACCTACAACACTTATTTTAACATGATAGGGATGAGTGTTATCATCCGTTAGGCTAAAGTTAGAACCTACAACACTTATTTTAACGTGATAGGGATGAGTGTTATTATCTGTTAGGCTAAAGTCAGAACCTGCAACACTTATTTTAACATGATAGAGATGAGCGTTATCATCCGTTAGGCTAAAGTTAGAACCTACAACACTATTTTAACATGATAGGGATGAGTGTTATTATCTGTTAGGCTAAAGTTAGAACCTACAACACTCATTTTAACATGATAGAGATGAGCTTTATCATCCGTTAGGCTAAAGTTAGAACCTACAATACTATACTAACATATAGTAACTTACAGGTTCATTGAATGTGATCTCTTTAATTTATTAATGGTAAGTTTGTACATCAACCTGTGCATTCTGTTTGCACCACACATCAATCACTACCATGTTCATGTATGAAATTAACGTTGGGTTTCTGGTAGGCCTTATGAAATCTGCTTTTAACTGCCTATACATTGTCAAGACATCTGATTCAGTCTCGGAACTGGTTACTTATGATGGGAATTGTGGTCATTGGGGATAATGATCTCTATTATGTATGTGTCTTAACAACTGTACTGTTTATGGTGAAAATATTCCACATCTTGTTTGATGCTGTAGCCAAGTTGCAATATCTTGTGATCGTTGTGCTTCCGTCCGTGCAATGACTCACCATGATTCTGGATGTCTTCACTGAGGACTAGTCGTGATCCATAAAGAACTTAGAGTGAGAAAATTATATATCTGCATGATTTTAATTACAATAACCAAAAAGGGTGATTAACAGAACCTAGTTGCCCCCCAGTGGCACAGGGGCATGTCTGTGGACTTAAATACATAGCCCATTGAATAGCTTTGTGCTTAACAACAAATAAACGAACAGAAGCTGGTTAAATTCAACAGAGGACTGCCCTTCTCTAGCCATAATCTTGAAATGGACTGCTCTTCTCTTGCCATAATCTTGAACTGGACTGCTCTTCTCTTGCCATGATCTTGAACTGGACTGCTCTTCTCTTGCCATGATCTTGAACTGGACTGCTCTTCTCTTGCCATAATCTTGAACTGGACTGCTCTTCTCTTGCCATGATCTTGAACTGGACTGTCCTTCTCTTGCCATGATCTTGAACTGGACTGCTCTTCTCTTGCCATAATCTTGAACTGGACTGCCCTTCTCTTGCCATAATCTTGAACTGGACTGTCCTTCTCTTGCCATAATCTTGAACTGGACTGCTCTTCTCTTGCCATAATCTTGAACTGGACTGCTCTTCTCTTGCCATAATCTTGAACTGGACTGCTCTTCTCTTGCCATGATCTTGAACTGGACTGCTCTTCTCTTGCCATAATCTTGAACTGGATTGCACTTCTCTTGACATGATCTTGAATTCGACTGACCTTCTCTTGCCATAATCCTGAACTGGACTGCCCTACTTACACTCGTTTTAAAACTAGAATAAGTAATGTTTGGATGAGCGATTGTAATTTATCCAAAATATTGATAAATAATCGTAAAAAACAGGTGTACAAAGCCCGTTAAAACATTACATTTATGGACTTTTTATTTTGATTATCAATTGTTACTTAATGTAGACAGTTTTAAGGGAGCAGTGCGTTATTAAATTATATATATTCGAACTTTTATTTACGAATAAATTATCGGACATCCAAAAGTTGTTTCTACACAGTTTGAACCCAACGCAAGACAAACTGGTGAAAATTTATGTTAATTTCATTTAATACTTCAAGTGGTTACCCATTGGTTAAAACTTAACGTTACTTACTTGTAGGTTTGTGTTTTGAATATAGGAAATTAGACATCTTTCGGCGATGAAATTGAGGGCTTTATAACGCTAAATTTGGGTCTCGATCTCTGCGATGGGCGGGTAGTGCAGCTTTGTGCTTTAACAACATTATATTGGCCCGGCATGGCCAGGTGGATAAGGCGCTCGACTCGCTATCTGAGGGTCGCGGGTTCGAATCCCCGTCCCACCAAACATGCACGCCCTTTCAGCCGTGGGGCGTTATAATGTGACAGTCAATCCCACTATTCGTTGGTAAAAGAGTAGCCTAAGAGTTGGCGGTGGGTGGTGATGACTAGCTGCCTTCCCTCTAGTCTTACACTGCAAAATTAGGGACGGCTAGCGCAGATGGCCCTCGTGTAGCTTTGCGCGAAATTAAAAAACAAATAAAAAATAACACTATCAACACGCCATCTGGTGTGTAGTTTGTAAAACCTTGTCGCTGAAGGAAACGCAAGTTGTATGTTGTTTTAGTTTTGTATTAGAGAAACTAAAGCGACGACTATTATTACATCTTTATTTTAATTAAACGTAGATGATTGCATAGCCTATTGTATACTGCGGGTAAAAAATAGTTAATTATCTAGAGCTGTCTAAACTAATATTTTAATAAACTATGGATGAGAATATAATAAAGTTTAAAAAATGATTTATAAACCGTAACAGATACCGTACTGTCTTTAAATCGTTTTATTATTCTTATCAGTACATCAAAAGAATCATTCTTGTTTATGTTTTTACGTGTGCCATTTTAAAACACATTATTGATACTAAATTAATATTAAAAAAGTAATATTGAGGTAATTGTACATGGAAAATAGTAAGTACTTAACAGTTTGTAATTTAGTCAAGAGATGGCGCTGTGTTGTGAGCGTTTTAAAATATTACAGTTGTACAGAAGTAACCAATTTATGAAGTCTAGTCTGATTCTTTCGACTTGCACTTGGCCGGGGTTACTGATGAGGTACGTCACCAGTATAACTCAGTGACAAGGGGTAAAACGAATGATAGATTAGGCTTCACATGTATTTGAAATTCCGATATAAACAGCTATTAAAGACAAACAAATGCCCGTTGAAACAATTCATCGGTAAATAAATATACAACGTGCAGTCAACCCAATGCCTTGAATCATGGTGTATATGCAATATGATTATCTAGTGTTTACCACCGTATTTTGCACTTTGTTTTTAAGCGAAAGAAACTGACTGCAATGCATTGTTGACAAAAAATGTTTGGGTTTTGATGCAATGAGTGTATCCAGAACAATAAGGTCTTCAGGTTCGCTAAATAGCCGTAAGGATTTTTTTTTCGGCTGGATGCCATCGTTCCTTGTCACTTTACTGAGTGCAAGGAAAGGTCGCTACCGAAATGAGCGACGTTTGACAGTTGTCATTTCTATAAGAAGTGTCAAAGGAGAGATATTCAAATCAAATCAATTTATTAAACATGGTACAATAAAATCATGTATGTATATAATACCGAAATGAAATATATAAACTCAACAACGGCAAATATATTCTCTCTCTCTATGCGTTTTTTTTCGTTCATTCTCCTATCTTCGAAATATTCCTTTCAATCCGTCAATGGAGAAAGTCCCGTTTTTTCCGTGAAATTTCCTCACAAAAAGAAAATTTGTTTTCTTAAGTTATTTTCTCAGATTAACGGTTTAACACATGGGAAAACTAACGAATTGACGCTGATATCGATCAGTAATGTTATGAATTGCAAAAAAATTCATAATTTTCTTGTAATTTATTCTTGAAAATATTCATCTTGATATATATATTTCAAAGACTAACCGTTCAGGAAATACAGAGCGTAACAGACAGACATTTGACTAATATACAGCGCCTTGTAAAAGTATTCGCCCCCCCCCCCTGCAAAGTTTCCACATTTAGTTGCTGTCTAAGCTTGCAATCATGAAACTTTCAAATCGGACTTTATATTTAGAATTTACACAAACCGAGAAAGCTAAAAACGCTGATATTTTGTAAGTAAGTTAGATTTTCAAAGAAAATTAGAATATTTACAATTGCATAACTATTCAACCCCTTTGCTATGGCAACCCTAAATCAGTTCAGGTGCAAAATATTAGTTTTAAAGGTCACAAAATTAGTGTAATGGTCTCTGTGTGTGTGTAATCAAAGTGGTTTAACTTGACTTCAGAGTAAATACATCTGTTCAAGCCACAACTCGCATAGTGATACGACAAACAAACCATGAAGACCAAGGATCTTTCCACACAAGTCAGGGATAAAGTGGTAGAGAAGCACAGATCAGGAGAAGGTTACAAGAAATTTTTAAAGTCTCTGATTATCCCTTTAAGTACAGGGAAGTGAAGTGTACTTCATACCACCCGGTCACTACCCAGATCAGGCCACCCTTACCAAACTAAGCAGCCAGGCAAGCAGGAAACTGGTTATGGATGTCACTGTATAAACTATAGT